GAGTTGGAAGGTGTATGCAACCCAATCATCACTAAGTTGTACCAAGGCGCTGGTGGTGCTCCCCCTCCAGGTGGATTCCCAGGAGCTGCACCCGGTGGAGCTGCACCAGGAGATGGTGGATCATCTGGACCAACCATTGAAGAAGTTGATTAAACCAGAACCGGAAAACAAAACCTGATCAGTGTAATTCCAAGAAAAGCTTATGGTTTCAAGTGACACAATATTATTATTATTAAGTTAGTGCGTTTCTTCTTAAATGATTGTTGTAATCTAGTTGAAATTGGAAAGCAACATTACATATTTATATTTGATACATTTCATTTTATTATGAAGCAGCCTAGTTGATAAATGTTCGCAGCACTAAACAATCAAATGTTCTATTTCTGCTTTCATTATTCTACTATTAATTATTGTACAATGTTTCGAATTTGTAATTCATTGATTAATAATTATTATGAACTATTTACTAATAATAATATTGTTTTGTAGGTTGTTACTTAAGTTTAGCAATAAACCCATTGGATATGTCCAAAATTGTTCCATTCTCTTTCATGGATTTGATATTCCCCCTCACTGTTCCCTGTACCATCTTGAAAGATAACTTTGTTTGTGCATGAAGCGAGGACAGTGTTGACCTTGAATGATACATACCTTTTAAACTGATTCACATGTCTTTATCATTGCAAGGTAATTGCCCATCTCACTCTGATGCACACACAGGAACAGTTACCTTTCAAGATGGCACAGGGAAATGTGAAAGGGACTGTTGAATTGTAGAAGGGGGGGGGGTGACTATTACAAAGGTTTTACCAGGAATAAGCCTGAAGCGAGATGACGTTTTACCCCCGTCTCTAGACCACAATCCTTTTCACACTGCTTTTGTTCTTTAATTATGACTAATGTTCCTGCATCCTCTAAGGAATCAAAAATTTTAATATGAAAGAATTTTTAAAACTATTATGGTATAGAGTCAGGGGGGTAAAACGTCATCTCGCTTCAGGCTTATCCGAAGACAAGGGGGTGACTGTTACTAATGATATACTGAAAAATTTGAACAAAAGTCGGGTGACTAGTCACCTATATTTGCCACCCCTGGATCTGCCCATGAAACCAATCATTGTAGCAGCACTTTTCTGTGTGGGATTTTAATTTTTGTTGACCAGACAACTAGTAAAAGACTACTTCCAAGGAAAATCTACACAGTTTATTATTATTATTTTCATTTTTATGACAGTAAACTAACATTTGAGGAGCTTTTTGCAAGATTTAACAAATTCTTTGGTTCGCTTGTCATGAGCAAAAGATTTACGTCTAATTATTGCTTACTATCAATCACGTGACTTTTTGGAGTTGACTGGGGGGCAAACAAGCGGTTTACTGGGGGGCAACTTACGGATGCTAAGTGAAAACATCAAAATAAGTCCTCAAACTATTGTATTTGACTATTTTCATGACATCAAACCAGAAAACAAGAGATCAAAACAATCCCCAGGATTCTACAAGCCATCAAAAAAGAGCTATTACCGGAAGTGACGTCTATTGATAGCAACCTATAAGCTATACATCATACATAAGACTGTTATCTGAAGTTCAAATAATCAGAAGTGGCTTGAAAAATGACTTTATATTTAAAACATTAATATGGGCTTCCTGTGGCTTATGGGCTTCTAGAACTTCATATCGGAAAAGAAAATTCTGGCTGATCATGAATTTGAGAGAAACCTTGATACCAACATATATATCTAGCATTCTTGTCTCTTCATCTACCTTTAATATAGTACTAACAGTTAATTGACTAAAAAAGATTACGTCTTCCAGATGTAAAAAAAGAGTAAAAGTCCTTTCCTGCTATTCTGGCATCCATCCTACAATATATTATGCACTATTCTCTAATATCTAATATATACTAAAATAGAGTGGCATTACTTAACCCATGCATGAAATAGTTGGGTATACTTGTGGAGGTTAATAGATCTTGCTGTCTCTATTTGACTGTTAATACACGGTAAAATTAACCCCTGCGCGGAAAAGTTACTCTGTCTTAAACGAACAAAACCATCAGCCCTTGTACTGAACACTTGTCTTTAACGATAGTCCCTTCTGGGTATGAAGCTTGCACTTGCATCTCTGAAAGGAAAAACATGGCGATTTCTTTCTCTCATTTCTGCAGAAGCGTTAAGCAAGTTGTCGATTCTCTTGCTTGTGGTTATGTTCGACGTCTGGACGAGTTCCTAGGAAATAAAAAAAAGTGGGAAATATTTTAATCCAGAATTTCTGCGGTGTTGGGTATTGCACCATTATTCAAGACCAACAGCCTCAGACTTGAGTTTTTGGCTATTTTGCCAATTAAGAAATACTGACTCAGCTCACTGGAAGTCAGTGACTTTAACGGAAGCCAAGTGCTAGATATGTTTTTGCATGTCAGATTGTGGGACTAAATTTGAACTGCGGAATTCCCGTGCCTCTTACGTCGTCCCTTTGAAGAAACACTCTGGGCCAACACTAATTTATTATAATAATTTATTATTGATATAGCGAAAAATTTTATTCAACTATGATATTCTGCGCGTTTCTTATTCTCTTTCGGATTCTTTTCTTTTTTACTTTCTTTTTTCTTTGTTTCTCTTTTTATTCTTTCGTGTTTGTTTGTTTTTTGTTTGACCTTTTTCCTTTTTTTCTTCTTTTCCTTCCTTTCTTTTCTCCCCTTTTCGTTTCTCGTTTTCTTGTTTCCCTTTTTAACTTCTTTAATTTTCTGGATGTTTTTTTTGGGGGGGTTGACTTTGACAGCAACTGATTATAAACATCAATTTGAATATTTTTAATAAAGTGAAGGCATTTGTTTTAACCTGTAACTGGAATGGTCTTATCAGAATGCTTCTTTATTAGCAAATAACTTTAAAATAAACTGCGCCCATGAATGAATGACAACTTTATTTTAAAACGGTAAGTACATTCAATTGAAACAATTGGTTTCAAGTAATGCACGCGAGTATAGTAGACTAGTAGCCAATTCCGAGAAAAGATCTATTTTGAGCTGGTTGCACTCCAGGGGTGGCCAACATAAAAAAAACTAACTTAGTGGAGTTAGTGTGGCGTGACGAGGGGAGTGAGCGTGGCCTGACGAGGGGAGTGAGCGTGGCGTGACGACACTAATAGCGGCTGCGTAGGAGAATATGAAAAAAAGCAATAAACTAATGACTGTATTAGCTGTAAGATTGTCTTTATGGAGCTGTTTGGCTATTTCGATTGTTAAAGATGCCAATAGAATAATTCAAGCTGACAAAAGGTTAAGAACTGTACTTTCACTAACAGGGTTTAATTGATAAAGAATGTTGGCCTTATTCTCATAGTAAGAAGTTGTAGGATTTACTCTCATTCTTTTCCCTCCCTCACCCACCCTCCCTCACCCTCCCTCCTTATCCAGACCCTTATCAGCTTTTCATTAAAACCAATAAGCTTAGAAGGGTCTGGCCTGAGAATGCCCCCACCGCCCTCCCTTCCTCGTCGAACGATAGGTGATCAGAGATTCAGCTATCAATCTAATTCTCATTAAGTTTATAGACAGGCAGGAACCATAGGTGCTCATTGAAGGTCGGCGGGATGAGATCAGGACCCGCGATCTTCGATGCTTTCCTAAGACAACAACGTATTGCTCCCCACATGACTGACACAGGCAGCGGGCTCTAGTCTTTTCAATACCGTACATACACGATCATACACATGTACGCATGTATTTTCAAGTTCGATTCGAAAACTTCATTGACGGACTTCCCTGGCTGTCTGGTCTTGCGCATGCAATGACGATACTCATAACCCATAAATTAATGTCAGATGATAACTTATCTTCTAATCACTACGCATCTTATTCATTCTTAAACTATAGGCGGACAACGAGACGGTTGATTTAATCCCCTGAACCATAGTATCCCCTGCAACCATTTTTAGTGTCGTCTAAAAACTGCTGCGGGGGGTACTACCTGACCTATTCCCGTTGTTTCTCCACAATGTGTTACTGCATAACGTGAACTTAGCCTTTGCTCGTTTAAAATTAAGATCCATCAGCTAGTTAGATATAGTTAGTGTGGATTTCTAGATAAACAAGGCCTTAAGCCATCGGTTTTTTTTACATCTTAAGCAAACATTTTTGTTGTCATATCCATGTCTCTTAGCCATATGTTTAATTATTCTCTCATTTTGGCCACTTGACCGACGGCATCAGTCCAGTTCTGGCAACGTCGCCTACTTACAGTCTCCTTAAATGGTCTTGACCTTATCTGGCTAGGGTTGATGCTTTTGTGTTTTCATAGTAAAAAAGGGAGGGTTTAGAACGGCCGGTAAAGCCACTTAATTCACTCAAGTACTCATTACTTGGCATGTTAGTCTAAATTACCAGCCAAAAGCATCGATCATGATCAACCAAGTTCAACTGGTGTCAGTGTGGCGTCGTCCGTGCTTGAGCAATGGCTGTCCGGCTTTATAGCCCCCGTGTGAAGCAGAGACCACATCAATGGTCGTTTTGAAACTTTTCCTATTACTTGAGAGGAATTTCTCTGTTTCAAAGTTTTGATAATACATGAGAGTCAGCACGGCTAATACTATGAGAACAGCAAGGATTGTTTGACATTAATTCTGCTTCTCTCGATTGTAGTTCTCAAGGGCGTCAAGGGCACTAATATAAGTCCAAATGGCAAGAGTAGACGAGTGATGGAAACAAACTTGATAACTTTTCCATGATCATTAGACTCATCAAAGTCTGGTAGTTTTACCTAAGTATGATAATGAAGCTTCTAGATAGATGTTTTAGTTACAAGTGTACTTCAACCAAAAACAACGATCGGGCCGGGGAATAAAATACTCCACGGTGTTTAGCATCATATGTCGTGTTGAACCGAAGAGATGTCCTTTATGATCCCAGATAATATTACGTTTTTTGCATGACGAATGTTGCTAATACATATAACATGTTTGGTTCTAAACACGTGTAAGCACTTGAACAGCTTTCGAAAACGTATAAATGTCGGCTCGTGAAAACGGAGTTGAAACATTCAATTTGTAGGGAGACGAAAGAAAAAGGACAGTAGGTTTCACTAGAAAAACAAACCGAAACTAAAAAACTTGCATTAGGAAAACAAGACGTTCTTTTACTAGGTCATACAGCTTACCTAAGCTCTGCTTTCATGGAGTCTTCTTTCTATAGAGCATGCAATCATGAATTTTTACTGCGCATTCACAGCTGTTGCACAGTTTCAATACATCTAATTGAAAAACCATGTTAAAACTATAGCCCGATCGTTTAGCGACGATTTTAGATTGACCAAGAAACAATTAGTCAACCGGCCCGATGCAGACAACAATAATTGTAAAAATATTATAAAAGACAGGTTTGAATAGGCGTTACTTTAGTCGTATTTGTTATTTAATAAACTCAGGATATAATATGGACCACGTCGAAAATTAAAAAGAATGAAAAGAATGAGAAGAAAACTAAAGAAAAGAAATTCGAAAAGACTACAGAAAGAAAAACTTGTACAACCCAAAGCTGACTAGGATTACCCCTAGGATCCCCAGGATTTGTGTGTCACAAGCAAAAAAGACAGATAACATGTTGACTTTTTTGTGTGGTCCTTCTGCTCAGTATTTATCTGTTATATTTTACTCGTTATCATTTTGAACAGGAAAAGCTTCAAAGACCTGCAGTTCCTCTGTGAAGTTTGTCACCGTCTTTCAGTCATTATTGTTGGTTCTCAATTTTAACTTCGTCAAATGTTGTTACGCTTATTTCCTCTTTTTAAACATGGTTGATTTAATTTGTAGTGTTATTTGATTCTTTTAATAGCTGTCATACCACACATGACTCTTAATTAGACTATGCATCAATACAACGTAGTACCTACCAAATCATGTACTAATGTCCCAGTATCGTCGCCCGCTTTCCTTGTCCCCATGTCCATCTCAGAATACAACTTATTCAGCGATCTGTCGCGTTTAGATGCGATAGAAAGTCTTGGCCTGGACAGATCCATCGAGAACCTGCGTCCCCCAAAATTAAGATTCTCTTTACGGATTCCAGCATCCGTGGAAGCTTTGCGACCAAAGCTACTGATACAACTAACCCTTCTCATGGGGGTATTGGAACGCGGCTTTTCGAATCGTTTACTATCCAATTCCATAAAGACATCTTCTTGTGTCGCACTGGAAGAACTCGGGTTTCGCGAAAGTTTTCCAACAGAGCTGACGCTCTCGCGGTTTTCTGCTTCTTCGTGGACCATTATGTCTGGAGTTCAGTAGCTCGGGTCGCAGTCAATGATACTCGCATCTGCCGTGCCGCGAGTAAGAGAAAAGGTAAATAAAACCCTCACAATGAACTCTGTGCATATCCCATTTCTAAGACGCACTGATTGGTTAATAATTGATTGAATATGTCAGGAATCTGAGGCTTACACGCGGCATCTTGGAGTTTTTACACTTAATGAATGAGGGCAATGTGGTACTTAAAAAGAGTATTACGTATTGTAATAGGTAAAGTAAACATGTTGCTTTGTGACGGCTTTGGTTATTAGCCTAGTTTATTTACTGAGCCAAAGAGTGACGAATGGAAAATATCTGCTATAGATTTGCAGTAAAAGAGCTAGAGGGTATTAAAAATAAAGGATTACAGACAAAAGAGTTTTAGGGATAAGGGATAACTGACAAAATAATCTTATAAGGATAAACTAATCGGTTATTGAGGCAAGAAAAAAAAAGTTTAGTAGTGTGGGATAACTGTACTCAGAATCATAGCGGGCACGGATTTTATTACGGATGCTGGACCCCAAACTGAAAATCCCTATGCAGAATGTAGGGATGTCGACCGAAATAAAGGCAAAATATTTCCAAAATTGCTGTGGCTAATAGCTGGTGAGAAAGTCAGTTTTCACAAATTGATTTGTGTAATTGATGGTTGGCAAGTATCGTAAATAGCCAATCAAAAACGTGGAATTATTTTATTCAATTTATCCATAAATTTTAATCAAAGCAGTTTTAAAATAGTGTTAGAAGTCACAATAAAGAGAAAGATTCCTAGATTGTTACTTAATACTAATTTCGTCGTAGCTATAAATGTACGTGTTGAAAATAAAGAGTTTTTTCAATGTGAAAGATTTTTCACATCAGGAATTACCGTCAAAATTCATGTATCATTCATCGCTGCTTTGACTCCCCAAACTCAAAATAGAAGTCTTTACGTCGATGGTAACTTAACCTTAAAAGGGTTAAAGCAGTGAATGTAATGCAGACTATTTCTGATTAACAGTTGACAAAGATATGAACTAATGGTGTCGTGTATTTTTAGCAACAAGAATCTTGAATTGGATTTTTTTGAGCTTGTTCATACTGCTCTAAAACCAGTATTTACAGAGCAGGCAGTCGCAGCGTGTTTTTTATTTATTTTAGGTGGGGGGGGGGGGGGCGCAGCGCAAACTGTCACATGGGGAGCAGAACCAGGCCTGATTTAAACCAGTTAAGTCCCAATTTGTTCCTAGAGTCACCCGAGGCAGGATGAAACTCTGGGGAGATAAAAAGATCATAAATACAATAAATTGCGTAATGACACTAATAATCACTGAACGATACTTTGCATGGGGCTCCTGTGGTATTATCGACAAGAGACTGGGTTTAGTCGTTCCAGTTTGCTCGCCGTTTCCTTGATAGAATATATTTTCCAACTTGAATGCAAGTCTGTTTTTGTTGGTCATTTTAAACCATAAATTCTTATTCAAAACAACATGGGAAAGAGAGACAAAAGAGTGGTACGACACTTATGATAGAACGCACTTTAAACGTCTTTTTTCACGCCTTTTTTAACGCAAATCGTTCAGTTCACAACATGGAAAACCTTTTATGTTATGATAACCTTACATACTAGTTTTACTAGTGACTTGAATTTATTTTATATTTTAAATCTACATTCTTTATTACACAGGCGTATGTAAATCCTTTGGCAGCCAGGTCATATGCAGGGCCTTCAGGACCAACCATCAGAGATTACTTGAATAGGCCAAGACCAACTTGGTAAATTAACACAAAGAATATATACAAAGGGGACAAAAAAGATGATTGTCTTCTTGGAAATAGGTCCCCTAAAACAGTCCTTGACCTCAGAATGGCTAAAAAAGTGGTAGTTCAAGGCCTAATTTAATTAGTTCAGAGTCTATAGACTGAGATGTTTGTTAGTTGTCTTCCATGCTTTGAAAGTTTTTTGTTAACCAGGTTTCTCCATATTTTTCTTGTTCTAATCAATGAAGGGGTGAAATCTATTTTTTGTTTCATTTGATTTTCCAATGGGCCGAGTTAGTTACTGCTGCTAGTAGTTTTCATAATTACTTATGGAAAAAGAAATAATACTCAAGGGAGTACCATTCGATCTAAAGCCTGTTTCTCACTAGTGAAGCAAGCCAACGCAAGCGTGCACAACTCTATGTTCTCACTATAGAAAGCACTCACGCAAGCACAAGAGAATGGAATTTATTTTTAGTTCCTTGTATTGGTTTACACCTGTGGTTATACTTGAGTCAGCTTGCATCCCTAGTGAATAAGAAGGTTCCAGGCTTAAGAATCAGGCTTAAAAGGCAGTAAGCATTATGAAGAGTGTTCCTGGTGTCAAGAGACAGTTTTTTACATGAAGGAGAAGAGACCTTATTGTTTGATAGGACAATCTTTTGTTTTGGTGAAATAAATAAAAATCTGTCACTTAGCACCGTGAGCACCCTAGATCATTATATAAAAATTTCTCATAATAATATCTTGTTTTGAAAGGGAAGAATTTCAAGAAACATTAAACAAAAGCAAGTCTGGTTCAAGTACATTAGCTGCATATGAAGAAGAACTCAATCAGGTGTATATATTTGGTGTGTTTTCACAAGCCATGGCAGCCATGTTGGATGTATCGAAAATAGAAATTTTCTCTAGGTTCATGATTTTTCCTTAATATTCTCCCTCAGCAAAAACCCAACATGCTAATTTTCATTGAATTTGATCTGTAAGTTAGCCCAGAGATATATCTCCAAATTAGCTTAAGATGTCTGGAATTTTAGCTTAATCCAGCAATCGAAAAACTGCTAGCTCAGACCATTGGGAATGCGATTGGCAAAAGCCCAAATCTATAACAACTTGAATTATAACTAGATATTTAGGTCAAGTAATAGATTATGAAAATGGACCGTATAAAATTTTAATATTTTAAGAAACCAAAATATTTAAAAGATGTGTAAATTAAAAGTCATATAATATGTATTTAATATATTATTAGTATAAGTCTAATTATTATTATCATTAATACTTGATTTTAAGAAATTTAAAGAAGAGCTAAGAAAAAACCGTGATGCTATAAATAGCAAAACCAAGAAATTGTCAAAACAGAAAAAGAAGGTAACAAAATACTATAACTAACGATTTCGTGGTAAGATTTTTACACTGTGCAAAAATGTTATTTGATTGCATTAATTTAAGTATTTTTTAGGATAAAAAAAGAAAGAAAAAGAAGAGAAAAAGGGTGAGAGCAAGGTTTTATCACAATATTGTTTAGACTTTCTGCCATTACAAAGAAAAGCTATTATTTTTACAATTACAGCTGGAAACCAAAACATTTGCTTTAATTCATGAAGATAAACTGATTGATTAAAATTGAGGATGTTCATGGAAGTTGCTTTTGTTTATGATTGGTACTAAAGAGTTTTGTCCATATTTTTACAAGTTCACATGCAATAAATAGCTCAACTCACATACCACACAGAGTTACAGGAATTAAATCTTGGGTCCTATGTGTGAGAGATAAACATTTGCACTGCTATACTACCCATTACACTACCCATAATTTGAATCATTGCAGGCCCAAGTGACATGCAAATTGTTGTTGTGTTAATAACCTAATTAAGTTAATTCGATAATCTTTAAAAAGCAATTTTCACTGATAACATTTGACTACCTGGCAAATAATTTACATGTAGATGGGGGAGCTGTGGCTCACAGTTACAATATCAGTAAATACAGATCTGTGGAATAGGTGGGAGATTTGTTATGACAGCCAATCCCAGTTTTGTAAGATTGCCACACCCATTTTCATTGATGAAAAAAAATGAAACCCACCAATGCAAATGAGTGGGGTAATCATACAAAAGTGGGCTTGGCTGTCATAAAAAACTCGGGTACATTCCAAAGTTCTGTGATTTTTGTAGTACATCTTTTTGATTGCTTGGCTATTATGATTTATGTATAATTATTTATTTTATTAGTAGATTTTTGAGGGCCATACTAGTTAATCAGTGAAATATGTTATGCTCTACCCTTACTTACTTACTATTATCATTACTATTATTTTATTATGGTATGTCAACCTCTTCTCCTGACCTTGGTTATTTGCATTGCAAGAGTAAATGATAATTACTATATACACTGTAAAACTTAAAAATCTGACTAGCCAAAAATGCTTTCTAAATGTAGTGTGTTTTTTTTCTTCCCTATTTTCTCTCTCTCTCTCTGTTCCTGTTCATTCAAGCTGCATTCTTCCTCCTCTTCATCTTCATTGGATACTGACAGTGAAAGAGAAAAGACATACAAAGTAAGAAGTTCTTGTAAATAAATGATGAACTATTTATAATGTGTTGTTCCAGAAATTTATTATCCATACCCCCTCCTTTCCCCCCTCCCTTGCCCACGGAGGAAATTTTTTAAGACCCCCCTACCCCCGGAAATTCCAAATTTCTTCCATTAGATACAAACTCTGAAATTTTTTTGGAACTACACAATGTGAATATAATTCATATTATTTATAAATTGTTTTAAATTATGAATTGAGCTTCAATTCTTCTTGTTTGGTTTAAAACTGCCAAATATCAAAAGTGTCGTTGTTTGCTTAAAACTTTTAATTCTTCTTTTCCATTTATGAGTTTAATCATCATCATCATTTTTTGATGAAATATAGTTATCTAATATAACAAATGACAACTAATGATTTGTAAAGTCAAATTTGATTAGTTTTAAATGTTATTTTACCTATCTGAACAGAGAAAGAAAAAGAAAAGAAAAGAATTGAAGAGCAAAAAGAGCAAAGACAGGAGTTCATCAGAAGAGGTTAGTGACCATCATTACTAAGCTCAGTACGTTCTTGGTATTAACTTCAAGGCTCACAATTCATTAGGGCCATTTATATGGTGAAATAAGATGCATCTTGGGTAAGGCATGTCTTAGACACAAACTGACCACATAAACAGTACAAAATGTTTGTTTGTGTCTTATTTATGATGCGTCTTATTCAAGAACAAGCCTACAAGCTGTTCCAAGTTAAGATGCATCTCACAATGTGTAAGATGCAAACATTTACATGTAAACAGCATTCATGTCAGCTAAGCTGTGAATGCAATTTCCAAATGCACAACTTCACACCCCGCACAGACAGGCATAAGTATCAACAAATCATCTCAAATAAGATGCAACAGTTTTTTTTATAAAGGTGTTTTTGCTGCTTGGATATAGCTATTAAAGAATGAGGACAATGTGATTTATGTTTCTTCAAGCAAATTTTTCGTGACAAAAAAATTCAAGCTCCAGGTGGGATGCGACAAATTTGCTTTTAAGAACATAACACATCTTTAAGATGCAACTGTTTATGAATGATACACACTCGTAGAAATGGAGAAGTTCACATCTTAGTTAATAGGGAACGTCTTTGTTCTGACATGTCTTTTCTTCCCTTGTGTAAATGATCAGCCCTATTATTTCCTTTACTTTTGATGTCACAAACGTATTATTTCTAAATGTATTTTTTTGTTTCTTCTTGTCTTTAATTTCATTTAAGTTGTCTTCTTCCTCATCATCCACAAAAGATGATAGTAAAGATAAACCAGATGAATATGTAAAAGTGGGTAACTTTCATTAAGTTTACTGCACCAAGGCAATGACTTGGTTTCCTGTTCAATATTTTCAAATCCTCTCCCTCTCTCTTCAAATAACAAGAACTAATTCCCTTAACCAACAACAACATCTAGCATCAATATTGTAACATTTAACAAACTGTCATTTGGAATGACCTTCCCAGGAAGGGGGTTCAGAGGTCTCTGCCACTGCATATATCAGTTGCTTTATGTATATGAAATTACAGTTTTTACCAGTGAATCCAAAAAAATGTAACAGACAAACTATTCTCATGATGTTTTTACTACGGTTTACCTTTGAACATTAATTTGATGTCATTGAATTTTTGAAATTAAAAATCTAGAGAAAAAAAGAAAGATCCAAGAAGCGCAAGAGATCAAGGCATAAGGATACAAGAACATCTGATGAAGATGATGTATGTTTTAAATTTCAAAATTTCATTTTTCATACATAAACGTAATTACCCATTTAATGCAGTGACCAAATTAATATGCAACTTTTGCAATTTGTTTCACTGTCTAAGACTAAAAATAATGACCAATCAATGGACAAAATGGACGATATGGTGGTTATCTGGGATTGCAAGGCATTATGGGAAGTCCAGGGGGCAAGTAAAGCTTTGTTACAGTAATAACATTGATTGATATTTTAAAACAGCTCACCACAAGAGAATGCAATACAAAAGATGAATTAAGATGGCACTTTGTTCAGCTTTACCTATAAAAGAAAGACAAACACACAAAACTCTCTATTATATTTTCCGTCTTCTTTGTTCTGCCCCCTGGCGAAGATGGACGCTGTTTCACCAAAGTAGTCCATTGTCACTTGTTTGGCCAAACACCTCTTGGGCTGATCCTCTTGACAGTTCACAATAATTATTAGTGCAATATGGCCAATGATTATGTCTTGTGATTGAAAAGCTATTATTTTTGACCCTGCTGTCAAAGATTTCTTAGGAAAAATAAATGAGCAGCCTTGATATAGACTTGGCCAAAACTAAGCAACCTGACTTGATACTATTCATGGCTGGAAGCATGATTATCATATTCTATTATAGACTTATATCTTACAATAGCTAAAGTATAATAGCTAACAGTACGTGGTTTGGATGTTGGAAACACAGTGCTTAAAGCCTATGAGTGAAATGTGAAATGTAATAGCTAAAGATCATTACATCTTCACTGACAAGAAAAACTGAGAACTTCTGAGAATATGCATAGTTATTAGAGAGTCTCAGCTTCTATCAGCTACTGTATCAGAGAAAAGCAAGAACAGTGTCCAAGATTCCCTGTCAACTGACTCTCACAGCCATTTGATGGTGGTTTGACAGGCAATATTGTCAGCTGTTTGACAGTTGCTTATCGGTTGTATAATAGCCACTTGACAAGTATTAGTCAACTGCTTGACAGCACTGTGACCAATATACGCTAGTTGGAGATCTGGAGATCAGGAGCACTGTTCTTGAATCTTATGTAACTATGGTATGTGATGTGCATCTCATGAGAGTACAAGGACAAAGTTACTCTAAGTATCTTTTTATTATGTCCAGTAAATATAAAAACACATTTCATTTAAAGGTTCAATCTTTCTAATCTACTCAAGATAAAAATATCTATTCCCATTTAAAAAATTAATGAAAACCTAAAATATATCTTATCTAGTTAATAATGGTATATTTTGTTAAATCATCAGGAATCATACGTGAAAAGAAAGAAACCAAAGAGAAAAAGAAAGGACAGTAGTGATAGTGACACAGAATAAAACAGTTTTAGTATGACTGTGAAAAAACTCATGGCACAAACACGGTAGTGACACGGCAAGGGATACACCAGTCCAATCATATTGCACAAGAATTTACTCTCCATCCAATCAAATACCTGGAACACAGCATAAAACACAGCACGGACTAGGTCACCCCAAGGTCACAGCACTGTCAGACCAATCACATTGCGTGAGAGAAAAAATCAGCCAATTGAAATTCTAGAAAACATCATGGTCATGGCACAACACGCTTATGGCACTGAGCTTTTCACAATCATGCAAAAACTGCACTAAATACCTGTATTATATAGAATGCAGAATTTCACCAAATGAGTATACTAGTATTTGCATCAAGCCACTAAAATAAGATGCAATTATTCTCCCACTGGCTGAACAAGTTTAGATTTTGTTGCAGCAAAAAATCATTGCCAGAAGAAATCACGAACATTAATATCAGCATGAAGCCTTTCCCTTCGTGCAAAATTATTGTTGTAACTTAAGAGCGCTGCTTCTGTTGCTGCAAGCCTAATGCTTAACATAAGTTTTGCAAATAAATTTCTCTCACTGGTGGTACAAAAAGAAATCTAAAACTGAGTTGTTAATTCAAGCAAAAACATGCAATGTCTATCACAAGTCTTAATTATTCCTTTAACTTAATTAATACTGAAGTGAATAAAAACCATAGCTTTTATTTTCCTTGTGTTTAAAAAAATAATTTGTCACTAATTAGCAATTAGCCCTTGAGCACAAATTGGCTATTGAGTTATGGGCCATGAGGGTGAGAGTCAAATCTAATTAGTTGGTCAAATAAACAGATGCAAACAAGTTTTGATTTAAAGTTAAATTTAATCTGTTTTGGTTTTCAAAGCCAGCACTTTTCGCTTCTAGTTGGATATAACTTATAGGCTAGAAGTAGCTTATCCAAACAGACTGTAGCATTGATGAAAGACCACTAGTTGGATTTGATTTAATGCAATATTAGGAGGATAATCATATGCTTGCTGTTGGATGACAAACTTTTATTCTTTACTTTGCCCATAATTTTATAATTTAATTTTTCTCTGTGTTTCCTGACTGGTTAGAAATGAACTGATAGAAATCAAAGCCAAAAGATCAAGATTGGTGTCATACCTACTGTTATAACATAACCACAATATAAGGCACGCTCTGATTGGTTATTTAGCACGCACTTAAGCATGCATCCAGAAATCGATGGTGCACGCTGACTGATTGAGTAGCGTGCGCTATGTAATGGAGATTTTGTTAAGAAAATTTTTGAACTTTTCTTGATTAAAAAATATTTTTTCACGCTTTTGCTATGTTATAGCTTTGGTCATTGATTAGCATGCTTCCATCTTGTGTTCAGGGTGCTTTTGGTCAGTTACTTATGCACCCAAGAAGCTAGAGTTGCACGAGACACATCCTCCTGCGTGCATGCCAATCAATGACCAATCCTTTATTAGCATTATTTACTTTTCTCATACTATAATTTCACCTTTTCTTATTTTCTTCTTCCTTCTTTTTCACCAATGATTATTGGTTTTGGTTTAACTAACTTTCTTTCAACTACTGTTGTTAAGAGATCATTGAACATATCATACACTCCACTGCCAGTTGCTGATGAAGTCTCATAATACCTAAAGGGAAAATAATATTTAGTATCAGAAATTACATTATAGAGTGCAAAACATATATCCATGAAATAATACTAACTAATAATAATTAGTACAAAATAAAACAGTTGAAAACAAAAGAAGTAAGTGTGTTTAGTGCTATTTAGTTTTTGTGCTATTTCACAGGTATATGATTTGCACTCTTTTAAAGTACAACACTGCAGCAAGAGAAAGATTATGGTAATTTTTCGAGCTTTGTGCTGGTTCAGTTTTGGAAATGATGACAATGATATGACATGATGATAACAATCATGATGTTGCATGATGAAACTCACTTGAAGTCATGGTCCTTTGCCCATTTCTGTCCTTCTTTTGAGCTCACCACTCTTCTGGATGTTAAATCAACCTAATAATATTATAAGAATAGGCAAAAAGAATTTTAAATTGAGATATGAGCCGACTCAATTAAGTGGAATGATTTTGCATGTTTTTCAAAACTGATGTTCACCATTATTTATCTTTTCCCTCATGATACAAGGAGTCATTGCTGAGTTACACTACACACAGGCTAATGTTAAACATAAAGTGTTCCAAAGTCTCAGCACTACACTTGGTATTTACCACACAGGCATCACCTTCAACTCACTTGTTGACTTGTTATGTGTATATTCCTAACAATTTGCTTCATGTATGTCATGTACCTTGTTGGCTACAACAGCCATGACAGCATTTTTCCCACCTCCTGACATAAATTCATGGAGCCACTTATCAATGCTTTCAAAGGAAAGTCGGTTTGTCACATCATATACGATTATGCATGCCTGTGGAAAACATGAAATACAGCTAGCACTTATATCCCCTAGTCTCCTACGCAGCCGCTATTAGTGTCGTCATGCCACGCTCACTCCCCTAAGTAGGATCGAGTGAGCGTGGCATGACGACACTAATAGCGGCTGCGTAGGAGACTATTTTATATTCCAGAACATGTACAACAGTTATCTTTATGCAATCAACATTCAGGCCCCTTACACATATATCTGGATATTTTTGAAAATTCTTCACAGATTGGCAAATATGCCACTTAAAAAAGGCAGCTTTTCGAAAACAGATACATGTGGACAGGCAAAAATGATTTCAAAATGGCACATGTCAGTGTACCTGTGTTTGTCCATATAGCTCAATCCTTATTTCATCATAGTCTTCATTTCCACCAAAATCCCAAAAGTTTATTCTATCTGGAATAATAAGTTTTGAACCACATTGGTACATCATATGATTATGTACATGTAAAATGGCAATTCACTTTGATGTTTTGATAGGCAGGGTTTGGTATATTGATATAACAATATTGAAACATCAAAGTTAAGAGCTGGTACTTAACTGGTTAGCGGAGAAGAGCATGATTAAAACTTGTCGAAAAGAAATCAAAAACTTGCAGAAGTGTACAGTGTACAATACAGTGCATAGCAGAGTAAGTACTGGCTTGCGATGTTTGAAATGTGACTTTTTGTCAGGGACACTTACATTCAATTCCATTTATTTTGTGTATCTTGAAACCTAAAAATAAACACAATTTTGGGATTAATATGTAAAGTATAGCAATAATTATTAATTATTTTTGGTTGCTATTATATATATCTGTCAATCAAACTTAGTGATTTTGCTTTAAATATGTTTAGAGCCTGGTATTACATACCATAATCTACTCCAACCGTTTGATGATAGCTTTTTGAAAACTGTATAAAAAAGGAGATAAATTTGCTAAGATATACGCTTGTCAAGTAAGCAAGCTTATTATGCAAATTGTAAAAAAGATCTTTTATTTAAAATATTTTTCTTACTTTTTTCTCGCAAAAATTTTTAACAAGGCATGTTTTCCCGACTGCTTCATTACCAATACCAGCTACCTGTAAAGCGTAAGATAAGATAGTATCTTCAATGTCAAGAGAACTCGAGATGAAGGACAAAAGACCTAAGAGTTTTTTATCGATCTTGTTCCTACGCAACAGACAACAAACAAGCCCTCATCTGTGGAAAACCATACCTTGATCCAGAAGAGAGAGCCTGCTGTATCTTTAATAGCTTTTACTAAATGCTGCTCTCTTTTATCCATCATGAATCAAAGATCTGGAATAGTAAAATTGATTTCTTTCTTTGGTACTTCCTTTCTGCCTTTTTTGTTTACTTGTCCGCCATCTTGTTTTAATCGAGCCCACAGACAGCATGTCAGCGAAAAACCTCATAATATGCGCGGTTACTCAGCCCTCAAATTTTCAAAATGGCTGACAAATTTGACTTTGCAGCTTTTATTTAATTTATCTGACCTTCTTAGGTACATAGAGGACAAATACCTATTGAATAGCATGGCTGAGTACGGGGCACATTTGAATCAGAGCGCAAGCTCTGAGGCACCAACATTTTTCGAGGTTATCGCACAGGAATCCATGACGAGTGTTTTACGACCAGCCATGACTTATGCCTTGAAGACTATAGCCAGTTCCCATCCTGACAACTTGGGTTGGTTATGGCGTTACGGCGACGAAATTTATAGTGTGATGGACTATGTATTGCAGAATTTTTATCTTAAAAAATACAGTGGGACATTTTCTGAACATTTTTATGGGCTCAAACGATTGAGTATTTGGACCTCAAGCTCCACTCAAATCAATGGCAGTCCTCAAAGTACCGGAGTAGCTGATACACAGTCAAAGCTAACAGATAGACAGAGATACTACTCTTTGTTAACAATAGTAGTTATTCCTTATTTGAAGTTAAAGTTAGATCAATATTTTGAAAGGCTTCGAGAAGAGACAGGAGAGGCGGTGTGCTACGTGCCAAGAAGACAGAAATTCCTGCAGCATCTAAAACGTATTTTTGTTACTGTGTATCCCTTTTTACACTGCACGTGGGAGTCAATATTTCTTTGCTATCAGCTGATGTACATGTTCTCTTCCTCAATTACTCATTTTCCTCTCCTTCACTGGATTGGTTTAAAACTCCAGCGCCTGTCACGTGAGGATATCCTTGCACAGACAATGGAAGGCAATGCCTTCTATCCTCCAACAGGACAATCATGGCTGAACAAGTTATATGCCCTTCCAAGTACATTGAACAGTCTCCTGGTCAAAGTCTTAGCCAATGGACTTCCAATCATTGTGTTTTTTCTAAAGTTTTTAGAGTGGTGGTATTCAAGTGAAAATAGTCATACTGTTGCTGCTGTTACCCAGCTACCCGTTCCTCCTCCTCCCCCTCAATTACAGGTAGGGAAATTCTATTGACAGTTCTAGCATTCCTCTTAAAGTTAAAAATATATTAGCTTTGGCTGTTGTATCACAGCATGAGATAACTGCAACAGAACCCTAGGCTCCATACTAGGTGAATTAAGCTAGTAATTCTGATCAGAAAAAAATTTAGAAGTTGTTTTTTGATGAGAGAGGAAAACTAAAGAACCTGAACTCAGGTCCAACAATATTTTGCTGTTGTGCCGGTTTTTTGCGTCTATTAGGCTGTTATTGGATTGTTGGTCATGATGGTCACACAAATTGTGATAAAAGCAGTACCATTATTGCTTGTGCATGTGCAGAAGTGGAACATGATTCATAATTACTGTATACTGTGCAGAATTACTAGCAGTAATATACTGATCCAGACCAGGTTGAGTCTGTTGGGTCCAACCCAGGGGGGGTACTCTTGCCCGTTAAGGGTATGGATGTGCTGCTGAGCCCTCTGAACCCTGACCCTGGTCCAGAGCAAAAATCGCTGAAATTCATACCCTGTTCCAGAGCAAGATCGCTGAAAACCCTGTTCCAGAGGGGAGAGAGCGTGATTTCATATACCCTGTCCCAGAGCGAGCATGATTTTATACACCCTGTTCCAGAGTAGAATCGCTGAAAATCGTACCGTTTGGCAGCACGTACCCCCCTAGGGGTCCAACACCAAACCCAACCTGATAAGGTGATCCATGAACCAAGCCTTATATGATTGATTATTGCAATAATATTTGATCATAAAATGTAGTCATTCTTTGATTATTATTTTCTGAGTTTGTATGTATTTGAAACAGTCTAAATCTAATGCAAGAATCTTTTTGCAACACAGCCAGCTCAATTTGGAGTGCAACTTCCAAGCCATCCAGCTCAATGTCCACTTTGCAAGAAAGTCAGAACAAACCCCACAGCACTGAGCACCTCTGGCTATGTGTTCTGTTACCCCTGCATCTATCGTCACCTTGGACAGCATGGCTGTTGTCCAGTGACCCATTTACCCAGTACTCAAGAACAGCTAGTCCGACTGTACATCAATAAAGAGAATTAAGTTAGCAACAAGATAACTTTACCATGAAAGCTTTTGTAGATGTTAAAAATTTTAAAAAAAATTACTACAAACTACAAAAATATACTGAAACAAGCAACAAACCTGTCTACCAATTCAAGATTTGATAACTTTAGGGTGCAAGATTCCTTATTTTCTGGCCCAAATTGACAGATTTATTTTTTCTAAGATTTGACATTTAAAAACTTTTGCATATTCAGTTGCAATATTGGTAGAGTGCAAACAATATCTCTGTGAAATATCAGTAACGCTAACAGACTTATACTATTTTATGCTAATTCTATTATTTTCTTTTGTTTAACTAGCACTTTTGTTAATACTATATTGTTTGCACTCGATAATCAATTATGTTTTAGTATTTACAGAGAAACATTAGACATATTACTTTGCAAAAGCTTTAGGAAAAAAGTATAAGTTAGGGCATTTGGTAACAGAACATCAACGTTTTTTGTAATTATTGTATTGTTTATTTCTAATTATATGCTGTATACATATAAATTATTATATTACATTTTTAAAGCACAAATCAAATAACTTATGTAGTGTAGTTATTATCATCTAGATGATTTCTGTTGAATCAGTTTTTAGAGTGGTTTTCATAAACCTGTAAAATTTAGTACTACTTCTCTCTATGCTTTGGTTTTCTATTGTGTTTATCTGACTATTACACTGTTTTACAGGTTAGAGTGTTATTCATAAACACATGAAACAAAGTGTACTAATATTAGAGTGTAATAGTCAGATAAACACAAATAAAAAAACAAATTAGAGTGTACTAAGAAAGCTTAAGTGTATTACATGGGGTTATGACAAACCACTCTAATGAAAACTGCTCTATGTATGAATGTAAACTAGTTAGTGTTTTGAAGGGATTTTATTTGGCCCATATAACAAGCGAGTGAGTAATATCAAAGTAAAATGAAAACAATGGAATTAGTGCTAGCCTTTCATGCGACAATTAAAATCACTCTACAAATAGAACGTTTTCACTCACATGACAAGGCAGCCATATTGGTGTACCAAATAATAAAAACTATCTTCACAGTTTTTGCATGAAAATAGAGTTCTATTCCCAGAGGATAGAAAATGTATTGTTTGTTTACTCCAATATGGCAACTATGACGTCAAGTGAAAATGCTTGCTGTATATGAAACATAAAAATTAAGAACCTGTGTATAATGTAGTATGAATGGATTAACATACATTTCCATTTAAAGGCCATGAAACATTTGGTCTTAAAAAAGGGAATTGTAGAACCATTTTTAAAATGTTGACGTAATGTTATAAAAACTCAAAAAATCACTAATAAATATCAATGTAAATTTTATCCACGGAGGGAAGCCAAAACATAAGAAATGGTGAAGACAAAAATCACTAACAAAATCACACGAAAGCTGTACACGTCTACAACTATTTCATGAAATATTGTCCTGAGTATCAGGCCTGGGGAGGGGATGTTGTCAGTCCAAGATCTGAAATGGGTAATCTGAGACTAAATGGAATTTGTGTGTTTTTATGTTTTCTGGCTAAAATATGAAAAATCACATTTCTAACTCAAAGGTCGTGCTTCATATTCCAATTTAAGGAAACTTTGTTGTTTGGCTGTGAATATATTACGATTTGCAGCGTGCTGATCTGTCTCAGATGTTTTTATGTGTATGTGTATGGCTGTAATGAGCATTGTAATATAGCCCAAGTAATAAAAACATATCAATCCAGTTCAGCCCTAGTGACTAGAGACCCTGAAGTTAAAAAACACAGCTTTGATTGTGTAGCTGTGAGATCAACTAAATGAATTTTGTCACCTGTTGCTGAGCAAACAATTGTTTTTCCTTTGTCCCTTCATGATCATTATGCAAAATATGATATGTAATTACTGTATGGGTGCATTGAATGAAATCTACAGTACATTTCTTGTATCAAAACTCAGTTCTATGTCTCTCAGCATTGTAATCAGACTGTGATTCTGAGTTCTTATTGGCTCTTCTGGATTTTAATTTTGATAAAATCTCATAAGCTTCTTGGATCTCCATAAACCTCTTTTGGGCTTCCTCTTTGTTGTCTCTATTCCTATCTGGATGCCATTTCATTGCAAGTTTTTTGTAGCGCTGTTTGATTTCTTTTTGAGTGGCATTTTCAGTCACCCCTAACACACGATATGCGTTCTGTTCTCCTCTTGGATCTAAAGCTTTCACGAAATCATCGTATAGTTTATCCCAACCATTTTTCTGTCCTTCATCATATAGTTGTTTCAAAACATCCTTAAACTCCAACCACACAGGGGAATTGAAGAAGTGGTTTACAGCATCTCTTAACTTGATAGTTTCGCCGTCTTCTGTTGTGACTTCAGCGTTGAAATAGAAGAAAGAAGCCCATAAAAGACATATCACCAAAGCACCGAATCCTAATATTTGTAACCGTTTGCAGAATCCCTTGCTCGAAGGCTGTACTTCTTTCTTAAATTCTCTTTTATTCTGAAAGTAGATTGTTCCAAACAAGGCCACGTACATGTTCCCTGGTTCGTCTGCAGTAAGATAGGTTAATACACCATAGCTTACTAAGCATCCTATAAAAGCATACTTAAAGTCTCCTCTTTCTCGTCCAATGTTACCGACCAAGTAAACACCAACAGCAACAGCTAAAGGAACTAAGATTCCAACACTCCACTTGGAAACTGAGTCTGGGATGGCTAATCGAGTCAAAATGCCATAAAAATACCCAACGAGCATTTGTCCAGCAAAACGTGTGACACTAAAAATAGGTTCTCGACCGCTTTTGATCTTTCTTTTCATCTCCTCGACTTGAGAAGGACTCAGATTAGCATCTTCTACATATTCTGGAATGCGCCAAAGATCTCGAAACCATCCCAACCCAAAAACACCACCAACTGTGGACCACCAAACGAATGCTTGGATATCTCGGCCTAAATAAAAATGATGAACTCCAAGCCAGCCCCATAAGATCCACAGGATGTAAGTAAGAAGTAGACTTTTCCTTCTTTCAACCATTTTTTCCTTGATCTTTTAGTTTAACTTCCTTCGGTAGATGGTTCTTTATCAATTATACAAGAGTCCGCTTGTCAAACATACCGCAGTTTTTTAACTTGGCGATCTGTGATTGGCTGGTTTAGCTGACCCACATGGACAGTTTTGATTGGTTTATCAATAAACTAATCGAAGCGGGAAATCTTTATTTGTCTCTCTCTTGGAAAGTCCAAAATTTTGAAATAATTTTAATCAATAAATAATATTAATATATATTAAGGTGTGGACGTATTCAGAGCAAACCGCATCGCAAGGTATGCGCTTTGAAATAATAAAGGCATTTGTGTTACCGTTGATTTTACGGTACTTTTCTTTTGTTTCTTTTCACCATAACAAGATCATGGTACACTTGTCCAAGATAGGTCATTGGAATCAAATGGTTCTAAGCTCTAGTGCGGTGCTCTCTTGTTAAATATACTCCTTATCAGTTTCAATTTCAAAGAGAAAGAAAAAAATCAGTTAAGTAGCAAAACAACAAACAAACAAAAACCGGAGTTTAAATATTTTATTTCGACACTATACTACATGATATGACATGATGATGTCATCATGGTGAATATGACGTAATCTAACAACGTTTGCAGCTTTGGCTGCACATTCCAGCAATTTTTGGGTTACCACACTGTCCAGCAAGGAAAGTACATAGAGGGTTCGTGTCACTACACACTGTAAAAATAAAAATAATGACCATTAATTGTAGTAATTATTGGCACAAATGACGTCATTTTTATTGATGTCATTTTGGTCTAAAAATAGACACGTTGGTCACGTGATTACCTCCTCCAGGTGGTCCGGGTGGTGGAGGTGGAAGTCCTCCTCCTCCTCCTCCTGAAAGAGAATGTGATATATTTATTCCATTCGTTACGAGCGCCATGTTATGAATCAAAATTATACCCCATATATATGGATCCGCGGGAGAGTGGAAGTCTGTACTCTCAAGGATGCGAAGTGGTCCATATCTGCCGTTCCATACACAGGCAGCCCGAGCAATACTCCTCATATTTACTGTAAATTAATTGCTCTAACTCATTTTAGTTCCTCCCTTTATGAACCTTAGCTGTGATTGATTTCAAGGGCATATTTCCAGAGTACCCCTCCCCCCTCTCCCCCCAAGTGTGATAATTGTTGCCACTTACCGCCACATGTGCTGGTATCGATTGGTAGAGGTCCTTTAAGAAGATCAAGGATTATCGGGAAAATTGGCTGGTTACCAAGAGCAATGCCGCATTGCAGTTGGATCTACGTAATGAACGACAGGCAGTCAGTGTTTGATCAGGAGATATACAACCTACATATATGCTATATCTAGAGACACTGGTATCGGGGTCACTGAGGGATCGTTAAACGAGAAGTCTTGGCCGAGACCAAAAGATGACGACGACGAAGATGATGGTGATGATGATGATGACGATGATTATGATGGTGATATCGACGACGATGATGATGGTAAATGATGATGACGATGATGATGGTGATGATGATGATGGTAATGATGATGACGATTATGATGGTGATGATAATAATGATGATGTTAATGATAATGATAATGATGATGATGATGAGGATGAGGATGAGGATGAGGAGGACGATGATGACGATGATGACAATGATAAGTTTGCTTTCTAACTTCCACTGATGGATGGTAGCTTACCACAACATTCAGCTTGCCATTGACAGGTCTCATATTGACCTTGACAAAAACTCCACCTCGAAGAGGGCCAAAGCCATTTTCAAGGCCTGGGATTGGAATGGTCTGGTCCGATGGGAATGTGTGGGCAAACTTGAGGTTGAGTGGTTTAACCTGATAAAAACAAGAAACAAAGTATAACCTAGCATGAAATGGTGGTATATGCTGGTTTGAAGCAATGGGGGGATTTAGCTCAGTCGTTTTTTGTTTACCCATTTCAGACCACCTGTCATTCCATTCAGTGAAAATTGAATTCTTTGTTCTATTTTCATCTAAAGAAAGCAATGATACTCAAGGGACTGACGCATGGTCCAATTGCTGAAGTGGGCATAAGATTCTTTGTTCTATTTCCATCTAAAGAAAGCAATGATACTCAAGGGAATGATACCTCGTGTTTGCAGAAGTGAGCAGAACATTACTCTTAATGCTAAGAGGCCTATTTATAGTGAGTTGTATCAAAAAAAAAAAAAAATAATAATAATAATAAATAAATAAATAAAATAAAATAAAAAAGGTTAGAACTTCTTACGTTAAAGCTGATGGTGACAGTGGCAGGGTTCTCGCATTTGTTGATGGTGATCTTGAATTCGAATATCAGGCCGACAAAGTTAACCTTGCATGTTTTGACGGAGCAGTCAGACGAGAAGGTGCAGCCCAGTGGATGCTTGATGTTTCCACAGTTTAAGCTCCTGGACGATGAGATTGGTTCGTACACACCAACATCCAAGGCATTTTCGAAAAACTTTGGATCTACGGTAAAAATAGAAATCATTTGACCGTTGGTTATAAAGATATATAAGTAGGATAAAATAAAAATTATTTCCTTATACTCAAAGAGTGGCTAATGCCAACCATGTTCATAGAGGATACCAAAGTAACAGTAATCTACCGACGCCAACCGGGCCGGCGGTTTAATTTAAACTAAAGCCCATGGCTTGTTGGGTCGTGTATGTCTTTATACAGACTATACAACGTTCTACGTCAAACGTTTCGTATGCACACAACTCACTGCTCACTAGTTAGTTTACTGAGGGAGGACCTCAAAGCAAGGGAGAGAACGAACCAACAAACCAAGCTACATGTGCCGGTCTTAAACTTCTAATAGTCGATCGCTCTCATTTATTTACTAGAAGAGGCAACGTTAACGGCTTATGTATAGAAAGATAGAGCACCGATGATATCGGTAACTGATGCGACAAAATTTAGGAGATGAAGTGGACAGGTCAGAATAGAGATATCAGAAGATGGATCTGATGGAATTCACCAAGGAAAAGAAAGAGTGGAAGGAATAAGGATACGTTGACGGGTAAGAGAGGCTATACTGACTTGGATAGAAGAATTGAAATAAAGAGGGGCGCAGTAGTTGCAAAAGATAGAGAGTAGAAGTAGAAAATCGTAAAGTATTACATACCGTAAGCTTGTGATGAGGCAAGGACTGCAAACACTACAAATATCCCGTAAGTCACCATCTTGTATGTAGGAGGACTTTATTCAACTTCTGTAAATCCATCTACTGTTGGATCGCTTTTATAGTATGAATTATTGAATCAGCCTCGGACAGCTAAGCCACTTTTGACCATTTTGCCGCGAATTTTAAATAATGTGCCGCGCACAGCTGTATCTCTTTAAACATCATGTATGTGCTTTCATCAGGTGTAGGCTGACACACCTGTATGCCTGATACAATCGGCACGGCATTGTTTCCTTCTGTTCTTATATTAAATGTTTACTGGTTTAGCTTTATTTCATTATTTTAGTGTCATAAAGTGATTTTATTTAACGTGGCTCGACCGAATTTTTAGAGTGCGCTGAGGGTTTCAATATCTTTCGCATAAATCCACGAAAGGAACTCTTAACTCAATACAGAGAGGATACTTGTAACGGCAGTTCAAGGCAGCGTCTTTCTTTCACTAGCCAGATTATAGTTTTAAGCATTTGCATTTTCCACTCGAGACACCCATAGATGCACATTTTAAAGCCTCAAAATAACATGCAAGCAGCTGCACTGACAAAACGGCAACAACTCCGACTAGAGAATTCAAATAGAGCTATTTTCAATTTAATTTTTAGCAACCCAACTCGGAAAGCTTCAATGCCTTTGAAATTGATATAGCTTATACATAAATGATTAAATTTTAGTTAATGAAATATTGAAAAAAATCTTTCGGCTAGCTTTGAGAAATTTATCAGTACCGTAAAAGTCACAATTTGGAACTAAACGCACAAATTTAATACTTTTCTCAAAGTCGTCTCAACGGCGATCAAGTAAAACAAATATAATAAGATTTTCAAAAAATAAAGAAAGATGTCTTGGCGTGAATTAGAACCACAATACTGTGTACGTTTTTTCGGAAACCAGTGTTATGAATCAAACTTAGAATAGTAACGACTTTTTAAATACATTATGAGTCAAATAATTGTTCTGCTCTTATTCAAAAACGGGCCATCGTCAAATTTTTAAATTTTTTCCCCTAAAGTTAGGTATTACAAAGTCCTTTCAAAAAAAAGGGGGTCCCCTGACTTTGTTTAATAGCTACAAGAGATTAAAGACGTTCTTGTGATATTTTGCTTATCAATAATTTGGAATGACGTCATCACGGAAAGGATGCGCGCGAACAATGCCCATGAACTTTCTTAAGGGATACTCCTAAATCAGGTAATGGATACCTATAAATCAGGTTATGGATACTCCTAAATCAGGTAATGGATACTCCTAAATCAGGTAATGGATACTCCTAAATCAGGTAATGGATACTCCTAAATCAGGTAATGGATACCCCTAGATCAGGTAATGGATACTCCTAAATCAGGT